ATCAAATAACTACATGTCATGTGTGTGTCACATAGGGCGACTGCTGCAGTGAGCGACTGCAAGTAGCATTACTCCATTAAAAATGTAGACCGGGACCCCAGTTTTAAACTTTCCATCAAAACTCATATGAAGGCGAACATGTCGTGCCTTGCTAATCCTCTTTTAAAGGTATTTTTAAAAAAAAATTATATTTTTGGAAGAAATTTCTCCATTGGCTTACTATGCAAAGAAATTGTAACAATGACCGACCAACTCACTCCTTTAAAGGTTAAGAATCAAGTTGCTATGAGCGTTAAAAGTATTTGCATAAGGTGGTGCTTTCTAAGTCTCGGGTGTCGCTCCTTGCTTTCCGTAAAACTCCCGAAACCTCATGAGCATGCATGCCTTGACTAGCATTTGTGTGCCTGTGGTATAGTGTCATAGCATGTAGGGATTAAAAGAGATCGTGATATTCAAAACATATTAGAATCCCACATTACTTGGGAAAATATAAATGATCCACTTAATAAAGTGAGGGCAATCCTCCTCTAGTAAGCCGGTTTTCTTAGGTGGAATTAGATCCAATATTTCTAACATGGTATCAGAGTTAGGCCCAATTACGCAATGTTGGGTGCTACCCAATATCGATTTGTTCACAGTTGTTTGACATGGTCCACGCTGTGCGTGAGGGGGCGTATTAGAATTCCACATTATTTGGGAAAATATAAATAATCCACTTAATAAGGTGAGGGCAATCATCCCCTAATAAGCCGATTTTATTAGGTGAAGTTAGGTCCAATATTCCTAACAAAACATTCAATTCACTGTACAGATGCACACCGTGAAGAATGTACTTTTCCAAAGTGATTGATAAAGTTGTATTATATTGGCAAAAATGGGTTTTTGAAGGATGCGATTTCTTTAATGGAATGAAAGTTTGAGATGTTGCCAAGTGTCAACTCCAATGATCTTTGGATTGGTTGACCTTCTGGTGACTCATTCATGTCATCCATCATCTAGGGTTTGAGAAGTGAATTCATTCGTTTTCTTCTCTTTGGCTCCTGAAGTTCTTCGCCTCTTTCTCACTCTAAATTTTGAAAAAAAAAATGATCTGTCAAACTTTCTCAATGTAATACTTTTCTTGTGTGATTTGTATATTGAGAAGTGTTGTGATGTTTTTGAGTGAATGTTTGAGAACTATAATCTCGATTGATTATAGTTTGAGTGCCAAGCTCTGTATCTTTAACACTTTGGTTCTGTTTTTCATACGGTGGTTTCTTCTGGTGACGGAAGCTCAAAAGGGTTTATGGTTTTATTGCCCCGGGGCGAAATTATATCGAAGTTCATTTTTAAGTTCAAGTTCTTCAAGTTTCTGTCCAATTTTTTGTTGATTTAATTGACTAATCATTTAAACCTAATCATAACACGCACCATATTCTACTTTGAACATTATTAATTTGTTCACCCCAGTGGTATAATCATCTTCCAAATCAATATAAAATGGTAACTAAGGGCTGAATTGATCTCTCAAAAGACAAATTGATGGAGAATACATGAGGTGACGACTGATGACTGTGTTATAGAGTTTCTTCGATTATAGAAGTTACCATGTCTAAAAATTATATAACTAACGATGATATTCGTAAGAGTTAGTAATTTATTAATCATTGTAATACTACTATTCATTTTTATAAACTTCACAACCTCTATTTCAAGTTCACCTTCCATCGACGTCCACCATCTTTAATTTTCTTGATGGTCCCTAGAAAAGGATTTGTTTCAAAGAAGTTCGTTAAAATGTCAAGCGATAGGCATCTATCTAACACACTTTTTTTAAGGGTATACTAGCAAATTATGGAAAAATGTACCAATTTAAACGTCACAGGTAAAAACAATTCCAATTATTTTGTATTTTTTTTGGCTCGGACAATCCCGACATAAGGTAGAAACGACCAGATGGATGAAGGCAATTAATTGTTAGGTGTTTTGAACTGTACAAATTACTTGTTAGAAAAACATAACAAGATTATCGATCAAAATAATAATCAAAACCTTAATTCTCAAATATAATCATCAATGTTGAAATCAATGAGAATAAAAATAGCGGAAGCATAAACTTACCTTGATACATAGATTTCTAATTCTTAGCCTGAATGAGTTACGATCTTCCAATTGATTGGTAGTATTCTCTTCAATTTTGCTCTCTATTGATGGGGATGTAGAGAATTTCAAGAATACCAACAAATGGGGACCATAACCATATAAAATAATAGTAGCAACTCAATAGTCACTATCTTTCAGTTGCTTCAAATTGGCTCATCATCAATTTAAAACGACACTCCGGTCTCTACACTATAATTACATGAAATCTAATACTCATTAGTCGCAATACATCTTTAACGGATCACTTTAATTGACTAATATCCTTTAAATAATAGCATTACACATGTTAATATACAACGTGTGGCCTCAAATATGTTGAAATTATCCAACAATCTCTCACTGGACCATACATGTAATCTTACAAATGTACACAATCTTATGAGTTTAAAATTTTGCTATCATTATTATGGATATTTCTAACAATCTCATCCATCAGTCATATTGATATATGATCAAAGCGATTTTCGTCACATTTAATGTGACTAAATCCATCAATGGTCACGTACACCCATACAACCAAATGACATAAATCAATCATGGGAGTGTAGTATGAAAATTACATGTTATGTGTTCCAAACATGTCTATTTCCAACTAATCCAACCTTATTTCTTAAGTTAGATCAACGATAAACTTTAATCAGAGTGGAACTGAACTGAATACTTTATTTCTGAAATTAACCGAACTGAATATCCATGGACAAAATATGTGTCTAAAATAGACAACATCCAAATACAAACTCTCACTAAACTGACAAATTATCAAAAGATGCAATACCCATGTGAGTATTATGCTCATGAAAGATGTTGGGTGGTAGTCAATTAGTAATTGGATCCATGATTATTGAGTTTGTCTTAATATGCTTTATAAAAGTCTAATCACTCTGATTTCTTTCCTTTACAACTAGGAACTTAATGTTTTTAGACTTTGACATCGTCGTGTTCCCCATTGAAACACAAGATTGCTATTGTCACAGAATAACTTAAATGGTCTTTCAATTTCATCCAAAATATGCAGCCTTATGACAATATTTTGTAATCATATTTCATGATCAGAATCAGAATATCCAATGATCTCCAATTGGTCTGATTTTTCTGAATGTGACCATGTAATCCTTAGTTCTCTATAGGTACTAAATAATCTCATGACTGTTTTCCTAATTTCCATCCAAAAGTTAGTTAAATATTTGCCTCGCATAAAAAGTCATTTTTCTCTCTTCAAAATTTATGACCAATATTTTTTTTAATGCTCTCAAGGTGAGTCTTACACGAATTTAAGTAGCTGCCTCTAAAAGCATCTGTGTTCATTTTTCTCTACGTTCTTCATTTCGTTTTATTTGGGATTTTTTTGATCTACTTATTATTTTTCTCCTTTTTATGTTTGTTTGAGTTTAAATCTTGTATTTTGTTTTCCAATTTTGCTGATTATGTTTAATTATTTTTTAAGTTAAAGTCAATAATTAATTTTAATCACATATTTCATAGGACTCACAACTTCATTCCATTAACTTTTATCAAAATCAACCAGAAATCTAATTTTAATCTCTATCAAATACGGGCTCAATATTCACACTTAGACCTTTTTTCCTAGACAAAGTCTAGGCACTACATATGGGGCAAAATGCCTCGCTTCACGCTTAGACCTTTTTTATCAATTCCTAAATGGTTAAATTTTTTCTTTCATCTCTTTCGTTTTCCCTAAACTCGCTTTATTAGATTTATTATTATTTTTTTGAAAGTCTTTTATTTGAATTTAGTTTATTAATTTTTTATTTTAAAAAAAAACTTTCTTTTGACTTTAATTTTAAGTTTTTAAAAGATTATTTCTCTACAAAAGTTATAAACGATTTTATTCGATAAATAGTTAATTAAGATTTAAGTTACGATATTATATACATTATGTAATTACTCGTTGTTTTGTATAAAACTTCGCCCTTGTTTGGCCCCCATTATTTTCCATTACATTACATTAATTTTTTCTCTCTCTTCATCTCAACCATACATTCATCAAATAAAATAATAATACACACAAATCTAAAACTTTTCAACCACACATCTCCCATCAATCACTATTTTAAAATTTTTCAACCCCCTAAAAATCTACAATAATGGGGGCCAAACAGGGNAGGCGGCCCGGGAAAGCCCGAGTCAGCTAGTGTGGCTCGTTGGCCCTTAACGAGTCAAGCTTAAAAAAAATAAACAAAAAATCTGCAAAACTTTTTTAAAAAATAATAAAATTATTTAGCCGTCTTAACAGTACAACTGCCTGTTATGGAAGCTATAAAAAAAAAACGAGTCGGTTCTGCTCGCTAAGGTATGAGCCAAAAGTTCGAGTCAAGCCTAGATTTTTTGGCCGAGCAAAATCTCGGCTCGGCTCGTTGACATCCCTAAATAGGACTTGTTTAGTTGAAAATTGAAACTATGAAAAATAGTTTAGTTTTTGTATTTTGAAAACTTGAAAATTGTACAATTAATTAATTGTTGAAATTATTAAGTAAATATAATTTTTATAATTTTAGATATTTGATATGTATTATTTTAGTTATTAAATGATTTAAAAATTAAAATAATATTAAAAATAGAAAAAAAAACATTTTTTTACGCGTAAGCATCGTGTAGGCTCGCTTAAGCTCGTAAAGTTTGAAACTTCGCCACCATAATTAACCACGCTTCATGTTTTTTTGAACTCTGGTGCCCCATGTTTGAAGTTTGCATAAGGACCCCAAAATATGAGAGTCGGCACTGCGTACGAAACATGCATTTAGGCTCTTAATTGATAAGCTGTTGACTTACCCCACATCCAGTATCAAGTGCAGTTCAGACTGTTCCATCATTAATTGGTATCACAGAAGCAAGTAGCTCTATATACGCATCTGCCTCTTGTGAAAATTGCGTTTGGCCACCTGGGAATCTAAATACGTCACCTTCATATTGAACCAGTTCTGCACTGCCTTCTCAACTGTCAAGCTCTTATGCGGTGCATTTGCGTAGGGTACATAATCACGACTCTTAAGCGATCGGAACGGTGTTACATATCCATTTGGTGCTGGAATAAGACAATCCAATTTTTTCTCTCTGTTGGACAAAGTCTCTCTCAATAGTTCATATTTTCTCGTGGGAAAGTCATTGCAATCATTTGATCCTGACACGGTGTATAGTCAATGTATTCAGCACTGCATGGCCTAAATTCCTTGAGTTCATATTTCGAACTATCAAATTTGTCAATCTCCTCACCACGACTGGATTCGAATTCAAGGTTGGGAAGGACGCTGCAGTTGTCTGCCGTCTTTGTTATTTCAATGGCTATACTGTCTCCCTTCTCTGATCCACCTTTTTGCCATGCTCTTAAAAGATAGAAGAAACAGCAAAACTCGGCTACTATAAGCATAGACAGAGCCTCTGGTTTTATTGTCTCCGAGATTCCCTTTTGTTACCATGATTCACCTGTTCCTTTTTTTTTTTTTTAACGAGTTACAATTACATTAAAATCATAGAATCATTAAATGATTTTGAAAGGAAATGGCACAATAATGCAATAACCCAATGGGCTGAAATTGTTGGCCCAACTAACTGAATAAATTGGTTTATTACTTGGTGCAAAAATCGTGTGCTGATTGAATGAAGAAGTCGGGTTTCTACTTACCTTGTTGTTGGACGGTCAGGATGTCGCCAAGAGCAATCACCACAGCCGTTGGATGAAGGGCACTTCTGGTGACTCCTATAAAAGGCTCATCTAGGGTTTGCACAGAAAGAAAAAAGATTATTCTCGACTCCTTGATTTCTCCCTCTCGATTGTTCTGCGTCGTTCGAGTTTTTTTCTCTCAATATTTCTGTAGAAATCAAAATACTCCTTTGATTTCTTTGTTCTCTCAAAAGAGTTGTAATCTTGAGTGATTCTTCTTTCAGTTGAGAGCGATGTTCTTGAGTGAACAGTTTTGTTTGAGAGTTGAGATCTTGTGTGAAATACGGGTTTAGTCTGAGTGCTTAAACTTTCTGTAATCCATACCTTGGTTGTGGTTTATGCTCGAATGGTTGTTGTTCAGTGACTGAGACTCTGATTTTATGATATATGACAGAGGATCTTTGATAATAAAGATAAGTGTTCGTTTTACAGTTTATTGTTCTGTAACTTTATCTTAAATTGAGTTTGATTATAGCAGTTTCTGATTCTTGCACTTTATGCTTTGTGTTCATTTTTACTGGTTTTACTTCAGTTCGATTTTTTTGTTACTTAGCACATATATTTGGTAGATCTGTGAGCTAATCACTGTGAACTCCTCCCAACAGATTTGTTAGAATATGTTCAAGTTCAGCAATGAAGAAAGTAAGAAACACAGCACACAGATCATGATCTGTGTGACCAAGTGATCCATCCGTTCATCAGCTTCAGCAATCCAACGTCCATTAGCTTCAGCCCTCCCTCCAGTTGTAAACAGCTCACATGCTTCCAGTTGTAATGTAGTTAGTTAGTTAGTTTAGTTGATAGATTAGTTAACCTGAGCTGATCTTGTTCGTCCATCTTCTCCAGCACATGCTTCCAGCTGTGAGTTAGTTATCATATTAGTTAATTAGTTAGTTTAGTTGATAGATTAGTTAGTCATTTTTCTCTATAAATAGAGCTCTTGTATGCACTGTAATTCTTGAGTTGAATAAATAATATTTCTTCTCCCCTGCTGCAATAGCAGGTTCCATTTTCCAGTCTTTTAATTTCTAATATGATTGCTCAGTCATCCTCAGTCATCAAATCTAAATAGACAAGTCATTCATGTTCACAGTTGAACAAATAAATATTGATTCCATAATCACATCCAAATCAAATAGCAGAATTTACTAACAGTTTCCAATATCTTTCTCTAATTTTCTTAATCTGAAACCTGGTTCCGGAATCTGTAGTTAATTCTGATCTTTGTGTCAAGTATTCAAGAAATCCAGCTGTTAGTGGGAATAAAGGAAAACATATTTTATTCATAAAAGAAATAACAGGAACCCACATGCCAAAATTTGCTCTCGTTTGCAGGGAATTAAACAAAATAATAGTAAGGCTCCGTTTGATTGGCGGAGTTTTTCAGGGAAGTAGGAAAATATTTTCTTACTCTCACTTTTTTGACTGTTTAATATGC